CGGCACTTGTTTGGTTGGGCGGGGGGCGGAATGGGAGATGGGCGGGTGGATAGAAGGGAGTGTTGTAGGGGGGTTAGGCGGGTGTGGATTTTGTTGGAGAACCACCATTGGCCCGGGTGGAAGGGTGGTGGGGGCGGGGCTGGCTGGAGCGGGGGAAGTAGTGTACGCCGCTGTTCGGGGGGTGACTCTGGCTCCGCTGTGTCAGGTTTACTGCCTGAATACTTTACCGTCTCCATACTTCCCTCCATCGTTGCAGATGAGGAATGATATTCGGCTTGTGTGTATGTACGTGTGTATGTGTGGTCAAAGTCGGAAAGATGTCTGCACTTGTGGAGTGAAGGAAAGGAATGTTTCGAAACATCCACCTTTCAGATATACAAGTGGGTGATAGAACATGACAACCCATACCTTCCTCCGGCAGCCCAGCGCAGAACATACCAGCGGCCGCAGGAACATAATCGATTGACTACAGCCACGCGCTCGCTCACCTCGGGCAAAATAAAAAGCAATCAGGGTCATTCCAGCACCTTCTAAGAGTAAAAGCTACCAATTCAATCCAATATAGCAAAAAAAAAACCCACTCTCCGCCTTACTTTATGACAGGCAGAAACCCGCTAATGAAAAGGAGTAGGAAAGTGGAATAGCAGAAGGGTCTAACACAGGAGTATGGTAAGCTCCACAGCGAGCAAGTTTCTCCCTTTTCCAAAAAAGAGTTGGTGTAGCTTATCTATCGTAGAACAACTTTTTCCACCATTCTTACACTTCAGCCAGCTGTATCACAGGTTCCAGCTCGACTCACTCGTGACGACAGCCCCTTAGAGATATGTGCAATATCCTGAAAGAGACTACCTTAAGTCAGAAATAAATGTAGCACTCCAATGCCCCACTCCCGTCCTGCTCTCACGCCAATCCTACCTTTTTTCATCATAAATATATCCAAGCTACAATTACTCTTTAAAAACAAAAGCGATCACATCGCCCTCAATCAGTAGTCAGCGTATAATTTCGCTCCCCTCTCGAGCATCTATCTACCCTAACGAACAACAAGATAAATCACCATCCTCGATCTTGGACGAACGAAAATAATAATAACAATAAAAATTAGTCTGCGAGCAGGATAAGCATCCGTTCACTGAGATGAAATTATGTGAAGTACCTAGCTGGCGTAGTGGTTAAGATGCCGAGAAACAATTAACCCCCGTGCAATTAGCAGGAACTCGGGAGTTCAATCCCCCTCGCAATAAGTTATTATTAAAAGAACCGTTGCATGGGGTGGGTGGATTCAAGAGAATCCTGCCTTATTGGAACTGGGAGACTGAAGACCTTAAGCCTTCCTCAAGAAGGAAGGCTGTAGCGCAAATCAGACCCGCTGCGAGGTGGCAGAATCCGACTCTAGACCGTACACACTAGGAAGGGTGAGTGAGATCCGCAATCGGCAGAGCAGCAAGAGATTTTTTCTTTCTTTCTTTTTTTTCCTCTTTTCCTGCTTCCTTTAAACTGTTTTGGAAAAGAAACTGCAGATTCTCTAGAGTACAAATTCTCTACAGGTAGTATAAAAGTGACTGGATTGGTCTGCGAGGGTGGCTATTTGCTTTCAAACTACTCGTCTACCGCTGGTTATCTTACAAACTTGGTATGTCTCCTCGAAAAATTTAGGTATAAACGATTACAGGTGGTATTCAAAGTTAAGAGGGTAGAAAATAACTTGGGCTCACGCTATTTCCTGTAGGCTATCTCATAAGAAAGCGGTTATCATATCATACCTTGCTATTACCTTTCTCAAACGATGCTGTTTTTTCATGTATGATAGATAGGGAGGTCAAGAGGTCTGCAGCTGCTATCATACATAATTCTCTTTAACATAGCTCCACCAAAATCCAGAAACAGTACATGGGACGCAAAAGGCTATTTTTTTTAAAAAATGAAAAATGAAAAACCCGAAATATCATTATATAGCATACTTTAAAGCCATCGTCTACCTTCTCTGGTAAAAAAAAATCTCTTAGCTTTGACAAAAACAGAACTTTCGCGATCTATTTCAACCTCTAAGTTAGTCTACTTGTACACCTTACCCCGAGGTATCCTAGCGCATTCAGATATGCTATTATACCCGAAACATCAAGTCACCCTTGGCCAACACTATTCGCACTTAGAGTAGTAACCTAACACGACCCCCTGTTAACTAGCTATCATACTGACAAATTATCTCCAAATCAAATACCACAACCACGAAGCAAAATAATAACAAAAATAATAATAATAATAAGATCCGTTAAACTCGATACTATAATAGCCTCAGCGGCTCTGAATCTCCCCACCACCAGACGTTCCCGGGGAAATTACGTTATCCGACCGGCCAGGCAGGGGGGGGGTCAGCACCACCACCACTTCTTATCATTCATCACATCACAGAAAATCACTCGCCATACTCAGCAGCTGCTGCACCTTATCTCGTAACGTGATGACGAGCACGTATAGTGCGGACACCTATCTTACCTCTTGGAGCATCAGGATTTGGGAATTGATAAGGGTCATGTTGATGATGCATATAGATTTCCTTCCCTTCCTTTAAGGCGCTGTCTCATGCGTTCTCCATTCCAGTATCATACCAGCTTCGCCTTCGGTCTTCGATTCATCGTTTGCGATCTCCGACACGTCTCACTAGCATCGGACCAGAAAACTCGAACGCGCGGCCATCTGGAGAGAGAGAAAGGAAAAAAAAAAAAATGAGAAAGAAAAAGAAAAAGAACCCCTACCATACCAAAATATTTTCTCTTGGTGTTGAGGCCAAAACCCATTTCTTTAATAGCCGATTTCTACATCCCCCAAGCGCGGATGCGCGGTGAACGGTATTCTATCAGCCGGCGCACTCATGACCACGCGATTTCCCCGAACAGGAAGAGCGTAGGGTTGCCCTTGGCGGGATTCTTCTCTCCCGTGTATTGTATACATAGTGCTTTTATTTCAAGAGGCTGCCGGTGTTGCAAAGCACAGATTTTAGCAGCGGACTCGGTCGATTGATCTCCTATAAACCATATCATACAAGATCAAACACAACCTTCTTATAGCCTCATGCGTACCCACACCTGTACAGCAGACAGACAGACCCTCTTTCATGAACCCTGCAGCCAAACAAGTGTGAACCAGTGACGAGGAAGAAAGGGCTGATACAAAGGAACTAGGATAGAGAAGGATTGGGCGATAAAGAAACACTAAGCCAAAAGTCCTTGTGGGTGATTTCCGACAGTTGGGCTTGCACTCCTCGATGCTGCGTCCGTCGGTTTCCCGGGGAGGATGGATGGGCGATGAGATCTTGTATCATACTCGTATGTGTGCCTTACTTTCCCTGTCCTACTGAAGAAGACCAGTGTGCGTAAATTAACGGAGTATCGTATCATAACCAGCGCTGAATGGACGATTCCCGGGGTACGGTTAGGATATCTCCTGCTAGTCCCGTAACACAATCACTGCTGTACTTGTGCATCCAGCCAATCCCCTCCACACGGTACGGCATGCATAGACTTTACTCATCGATCCCCTATTTCCTCCCCCCCCCCAGGAATCGAGTACTTCATTCTTTGCGCTCCTGATAATTAGCACTCCTCAGTGAAGCACCTTGACTGAGAAGAACGGGAGCGGAGTTTTGACGCTTGTGTGGTGGTGTGGTCGTGTATAGTGCTTTCAATGGCATAGCAAGGACTATCACTGAGAAATATATTCGAAAAAACGTAAAATTCCACCCGGCAAGCAAAACCGACAAACCGGTGGGCCAAGGAAAATACAACCTAATTATTACACAGAGAATCACTCGTGCTCCTACACTCATCCTCCTGACGGTTACCTCTATTTCCCCTCGATTGGGGATGAGGGGAGAGCTAGTCTGGGGGGTGCGATGAGTATAAAGAAACCAATACCCGATTCCAAAAACCACACAGATCATTGAACGAGATCCCTATATGTTCCGAGATGGACAGGGGAAAAGAAGAAAACACCGAAGGGCGACCATCCGGGACCGGAATAGGAGATTTTATCCACAAATCTCCAATCCAGAGTAGGTATAGTAATCACAAAACTCGTGCCCACAGTTCATGAATGATATCGATATAATAGTCAAGCTCATGTTGCTCTATTGGAGAGCTAATTTATAGTTTTTCCCACCACCAATATTTAAGTGTCGGTGCTAACTACACCTGGCAAGTCAGTAGGGACAGGAGGTAGCAGTAGTTTGTAAATATGGGTAGGGGCTCGGGGTGTTTGTCGCCGGGGAAATAATGGTTGGTGTCCGGCCGGTGATTGATGTAGGGGGTAGAGGACGATGTGATGTGTGCTCTCCCGCGACGGGCAGACCTACCAGCTTGGAAAAGAACCAACAATCACTCACTCTTCCGGCCAAGACCAACCGAGAGATCAAGACCATTTCTGAACTTTTGGGGATAGGGATAAAAGGCTATGATGCCAACTCAATTCGGCCCAATCTATAAGAGCCCAGATGCGATATGTATGACACAACAAGAACCCGCCGCCTTCCATCCTTCCCAACCGCTAAAACCCATATACAGTGCGGTCAACAATAAGGAAAACGAAAGAAAAAAAAGAAAAAAAACACCAGCCTGGGTATTGGATCTCCAGTGAGATGATCGAGGTGAAAGAAAGTACCACTATTTTTACAAAACCGAACACAGACTGAAGAAGAATAACACTAGAAAAAATATGTATGACGAATGTCCCAAGTGGAGGTTTCCTAAAAGAGTGAAGTGTGGGAGTCTGAAAAGGAAGGGCCAAACCCGAGATGAAGTCCAAGATGAAAAAAAGGTATGATAGAAAAAGGAAGAAAAAGGAAAAGGGAGTGATTGGATAGCCCTCCGTAAGTACAAGTAAACGGTGGAAAAGAAAAAAAACATATATTATACACCTACCGTGTGCCATTCCATATATCTATCGGTCCGTGGACGCATATCCATTACTCCCCACGCTGAATATCAAACCGTGCCGAACCAACGTCACCTCCCCAACTCGCAATTAGCCGCGCACTCCACACACCCCCAACTTAGTAACCACCCCACAAAAGCCCATACAATCCCCCCGCCAAGCAAATACACCCAGACCCATCGAAATCCCATCTCAACCCCCTCCCTACCCTCCAAGAACTCGGTCAAAAGCCCATCGATCTCCAACTCCTTCGGCAACCAGGAATTCCTCCGATCCGGGGTGGGCGTTGGGCTTGGAACGTCGAACACATCCGACAGTGTGGGTCTATGGCGACTCTCCGCCTTTCCCCTGCGGCGCAGGGAAGGAGGGGGTGTCAGCGGGAAGCCCGTATCACCCCCGGCTCCGTTCCATGGAGGGGAATCTGGCACTGGGGTTATATTCACAGTCGGGTTATTCCGATCTTTACCACCGCTCGCAGTAGAAGCAGCCTCCTCGTGAAGCGAGACCCCGATAGTCGCAGCTTTCCGGAGCCTCCGTGGCGCCGGTGCTAGGAAGGGGTGTGGAAGGGAGAGGGTTCTTGTTAGTTCGCATTTCCGCCTAACTTCCCCGCTGCTCCCCAACACTCCTGGGGAGATGGCGGCATCCTCGTCCCCGGAACTATTGGAATCCGAGTCCACGAATGCGCGGACCAGAGGTGTTGTGGGAGCGCTTGTTGAAAAGCCGGATGACACAGCTGCTTCGGCTTGTGCTTGCAAGCCCGCTAGCAGTGAGCTTAGACGGAGGAAAGCGTCGTCTTCCTCCAATCCTCCTCCGGAGGGCGTGCAGTCATCAAGTGAAGCTGCAGTAGTAGTACTACTCCGATTCGAATTCAAACTCGAGCTCGAGCGAGTCGGCGAGGAGGAAAGGCTGGAAGGGAGCGTATCCGGTGTGACAACATCCGTGCTCCGGGTCGAGCCTAGAAGCTCCGTAGAGAACTTCTCAAGAGATATGCGTGTTCTATAAATCCCATTAACCCATACAATCTCCAACAAGGACGAATAATTATAAACGCTCCATACCTCGTCAACTGCGCGACGAGATCGTCATCATCACCGACCCCATCGGCGTTCAGGCGTAGTAAACTTTTTAAACCGATAATCTCTGAGACTAGTATTTCGCGGAGGTTGTCCATTGGGTTGCTGTTCCTTCCTTCCTTCCCTCACTTCACTTTCCCCCTTCTTCTTGAGCTTCTTCTCCCTCACCCTTTATTCCAAGCCCGGAGCCGCAGTGATGACAAACTAAGAAATATGAATTAAGCGTCAGGTCCCAAAAGCATACCGCAAACCCTAAGGCCCCTAAAAAAACCTTGGAGGAAGAAAATGAAAAGTAAGAGAAAAGAAATAAACGATTGTGTAAATAAATTATTATTTTCGTAATTTGTGGGAGGAATAGTAGGTAGTGGAGTGGTAATGAAAGACCAAGCAAGCACAAGATTGGGGGGGTGGAAAACAGGGAAAAGAGTGTTAAGCCCAGTCCTTCCTTAGGCCGAGCCGGCTGAGGGGAGGTTTGGAAACGGGCATCAAGGCTCGGAGAGAGTGAGAATCAAAAAGCAAAACGCACCTGAAAAAGCTTGCTTCCTTCCTCTCCCCCCCGCCAAGACGGAACAGGGACTCAATTAGTTATGATAATTTATTATTATGATAATAACACAAGAACAGAACGTTGGTACCTGAAACGATGATTTAAGAAGAAAAAACAGGTATCATACAGTACTCGTACCTGGTGCTACCGTAACGGTAAGTTGCTATTCTAGACCAGCGCGTCCCAAATTTCCTTTTCCCCTTCTCTCCCTTGCTTCCTTCCTTCCTTCCCTTCCCTCCTTTCAAATCCCAAAATACTATTGTACGAGTACTCGAGTACAGCACTCGAGTACAGCACTCGAGTAGTGAAACGTGCGCGAGGATATTGTACGAGTACGGTAACTTATCGGGGAAAATGGGAAATAAAAATACCCCGACGTGTCCCAACCCTTCCCAAACCCTTCCGATAAGTCAGACTAACACACGCACACGTGTTACCACCCGAAGCGAAGCGAGAAAGGCCCTCTCCCTCCCCTCCCGGTCCCGGTATCCAGCAGGAGTTATTCTCGCTAGACCACTGTAAGGAATGTTACGGTAAGGGGAAAGTGGAAGTGCACCGTGCCGTATGATCTGTGATCTGCAGGGTGTGTGGGAATGTCGAGTCGAAGTCTAGTCAAAAAGTCCAAATTCTCTCGTTCGTTCGTTGGTGAGTCTACTCGAGTACTGTACTAGTACTTGTAGAGCTTTGGAGATCCTGGGTTACTCGTACTTTATCGTGCTGCGCTCGCAAGGATTGGCTGGATGGCTGGACGGATGGACGGATGAGTTGTCACACACACGCGATGATGTCAGCTGTTTGGGGAATTTAGCTTGCTTGGTTGCTTGCTGTTGGTAATGGCCTGAGCGCTTCAGCTAGGTTTTGCGAGCACGATGGCGAGCACGATGATAAGTGGAGAGTACAGAACCGGTAGAGGTGCGAGAGGGTGCGAGGGGGAGGAAAGGAGAAAGAGAAAGTTAGGGGATAAGTTAATAGCTTTATGGTGCCTTGCAATACCGCAGACCGTCCGAGACGGACGGACCTGTGGAGAAGACGTGTTACCGTCACAGGAGTGCAGTCCGAGGGGGGTGGAGTGTTTGGTTGGGGAAATGTACCATGGGTATGATATTATTATTATTAGCTGTCCTGCAAGTATGTGATAGAATGTGTGATAACAGTAGGGTACAGATGCTGGGCAGCGAGTAAATGACAGCGGCGAGTTCGCAAGCGTGGTAAAGCAAAGCAAGGTAATCACGCAGCTCGTTTCATTCCATCCCCGCTCGTCACCACCCACCCCGCCGCCCAACCAACCATCCCTAACCCATATATCAAGCGATGCATACAGACGAGCGCCTGACAGTAAGTGCCGGTATTATGACACAGCAACCCAGCAGGAGTGATAATAAAATCGACAGAGATGAAGCACGCACACTCGTATTAAACCTACGATTCACACACCCATCCCATCCATCCCATTACGCAAACTGCCACCTGAATCGCTCGAACAAAAAACAGTGTGTGCACCATTGTAAAAAGTGAAGAAAGGAAGAGGAGGAAAAAAGTGAGGAAAAAGAAGAAAAAAAGAAAAAAACTACATCCCATCACCATCTTCATCGCCGTCACCGCTGTCACCCCAATCGGTCATGTCCGCCTCGTCCGCTCGTCTCTGCACCTCCAGTAGCCCACTTATTTCCTCTACATACCCTCTCTGATTGAGTGCCTTCTTGACGAAATCCCACCCCTCATCCCTATACTCCTTAATGATAGCGGGAGAACATGCGGAACAGCAGTTATATGCAGGACCCTTGAGCATTATGTTCTGGAACGAAGAGAGGAAGCCTCTCATTTGGTGGGCTATCAGACCTAATGGGTGATTTGGTGGATTTCGATCCGCCTTGTCGTTATTCGGCGCTGGGGCAGCAGCACCGAGAGGGTGTTGGAGGACTGATACTAGCGTTTCCACCAGCAGTGCACTTGCAATGGGTGCTACACCCGGTCGAGTGACAGTGCACTGTTGGTCGAGTGTTCTATCAACCAAGCTCTATCAAGATATCAGTATTTCGTTGGAGAGAAGGTGGAGTAGCACACAACTAACATCTCCGGGAGCAACTACATCGCTGCAGTAATAGCATCCGAGCTCTTCTCCTCCCTTTTGATCATCGGAGGGTTTCACCCCATGTCTCATAACGACATAACTGTCGAATCCCAAGGCAGCATTCATGACAAGTTTCTTCATGCTCTTTCCCATAACCGTTGGCAGCCATCTACTCTCCCTCGTGTCCATGAGCAAGAATATAGCATCGTGCTCGTCGAACAGCCTCCTGAGCTTCAAATAGTCTTGCTTGACACCGGCTTCCTGAGTATCCGAGAACGGGTGCGCAGCCATTGGCACCGTCATGTCAAATCCTTGAGCATCAACACCAGGATAAATCTCCTTCAAAGCCTCCGCAGCTCTAATTGCTTTCATAGTCTCCCCGCCAATGCAGTCCTGGAATGTATACAATGGCTGTCGAACAGGGTTTGAAAAGGAAACCGTTCCAGAATCGATAAACGTGATCTTATGCACCCCCCAGCTAAGCAAGTTGCGCGCTACATATGCACCGAGCGTACCAGCACCGAGCAAAAGACACCTCGTATTCCTGATAACATCGAGGTCTAGCTCCGGCGCGACTCGCCATTTCATGAGCTTGAGGTTCAAGTCGACGTTGATATCCGCTTGCCTGCATAGCGTTAGCATATGCAATAACCCGATGCGCATACCCTTACTTTTTCGGATCCATCTGAGCAGATAGATTTGCGATCTTGGGAACAATCTTGTTATCGTCATTCTTCTCCCATCCGACAACCTTGGGCATCTCATCTACTCTCGTTAGACTGTAACCGGTATTTAGCGCGGTAACCTCACCACCAAGATTAAGCTCTTCCAGGCCTTCCTCGGCCTCAAGCTCGCACACCATGACCAAACTCTTAGGTTCAGGCCGTCCTTGATGGGCATCTCTATAACAAAGCACCCGAACCTTCCTCCACCCCCACCTTTTCCTCACAAGCATCAACAGGTTCCTCAAAGGCCAGCCAGGATTATCCGGATAGTCGCTTGGGTCCACAAACCCAACAAACCGGTCCTCCTCATCCACATCTTTATCGAAAAAGGAGTGCTCAAAGTCGCCCAAGCTCCCAATCTTCCAAGTCCCCGCATCCCTCTTAACCAGGAAGAACCCGTGTTGTCGTGAGTCAGTGCTGTACCGCCAGGTATTTATCGCTTCGACGAGAGAGGAGGTTTGGTGGGGGTCCAATCGCTCGATTGGGGTATTGCATGTCCACTGTGGAGTAGCGGCGAAAGCGGGGAAAGCAAAGAGGTGGTGGAACTTGTACCTTTTGAGATCCGCGTACGATAGTATAAGGAAGGATGAGAGGAGCGATGGGCAAGAGTATATTGAACCGTCAAGTATCGCACCCCAGATCTAAAAGCCGTCAATAAGCCTCCAAACGATACAAGCTCCGAGTGCCGTCGGTGAGCTAGCTAGGGTACCTACTGTCTGCGCGGACCGCTTAATCATAACAATCTTTTCAACTTTCCTAAAGTCCTCGATAGTATTATAGTTCTTGATCATCCCCTCAGCCCGACAAGCAGTTATCGGAACCCTAAACAAACCGTTAACAGAACTTGAGCCCTCCTCACATGCGGATAAGGCGCATACTCGTCAGACGTGAGGGCATTTCCATGGACCTGCATTCTCCCGCCATCGTGAGGAAGATATTGGCCAAGGACCTTCCGGGGCGACTCATCAAGCTTATCGTAATCGATTTTATGGCTCGCAAGAGAATAGTAAAACTGAAGGTCTATCAACGAGGAGAAAGGCGCGTACTTCATTTTTTTTCAGAAGGTTTTTTTTCCTCCGCAGGTTGTTTCTTTTCTCTTGAAGGAGATGAGAGGGGGGGCAAAAAATAATGAGGGGTAGGTTGAGGAGCAGAGGGGGGAGAGGGGGAGAGGGAGAAACAGGTACTCGAGTACAATTAATGGTGGGGTATGTGTCCACGACAGGGGAGGAGAAGGGAGGACGAGGGGTGTGAGATATCATACTACGGTAGCGGAGCTGATTTGGTAGGGAATGTTGCTTATCATCGCAACCAATCCTTACTCGTACTAGGGGAAAGAGATGACTCCCCTGGTCAGGTGTTTCCCTCTCTCCTCCACCACCACGATTATTGTAGCTTATAGTAAGCTTAGGACAACCCAAGCCTCTCGTGATATATCAGACTCGTGGGGAAAGTTATTACATTCGCAGTGCTCTAATGCCATCCCCTCGCTGCCAGTACCGTATCTTACAGCAAAGTATTTCTTCAGTGCCGCAATTATCGGGCAGGTGCTTTCAAGTACCGGTATGAGATCATGCGCCGGCCATACCGGCCATTTACTCGTACTGTGCAATGCTGTGTAGCACCAGCACAATACCATGGTACGGTAGACTACTTGTACCGCAGCCTTCGGCGCTCACCCCAACACTATCACAGTAATACTTGCTATCCAATATGACTCCTCCACCACCTCTCACTCATAATCGGATAGACTGCCGGTAATTTTCGGTTCACCCCGACCCACCCCGAAAGGCTCTTGCAGATTCTGGAACAAGGCATCTATCATACCGGTACTAGGCAGCACATCATTACTGTACGGTACTCGAGTAATGGTAACACCCCTCTGGGCACGACTGGACCAATTTCACTTGGCACCTACCCACTCTACAAGAGTAGAGATTAACTGCGGTACCGATATCATACTCAGTACCGGTACTAGTACCGGTACTCGAGTACAAGCACGCAAACAACAGATAAAAGCTCGCGCACTGAAAGAAGAGTGCTCTCCGGGTCAAATACCAGTACCCGGTGCCCCATGGGTCAGGAAAATGCAGGGCTCTACAAGTACATAGTCTCGGGGAGCTTGCATCGGTTAGGTAAAGCTTTCATCTCCATTAGGTCTTAGGAGGCTCATCCTAAGGGTAAAGTGTGATAATCACTTTTTCTTGAAAGAGCAAATTTAGTAGGATTTGCAAAAAGAAATATTTGATCTTTGCGGCGCCGTGACTACGATATGATACAACAGGATGAACGCACCACCAGTAGAGGGAATCCAGAAATACAGCATCCCTAGCAGGAGTAGAATTTTGGATACCGTAGCCATGCAATATGCAACTAGAGCGCAATATCATTTGTTTCATAGGATTCCTTCAAAACGTAATTACTGTACACACAGCTACAAACTAGTCGATGGTAGACAGATTTTCGACACAACTTTCAAAAAACGGCAGAACAAAGGCGGTGGGCCACGACAAGTCAACTGGTAATCCTTCCAGTCCACTTATTTCCCCATCTGCCTCTACCGTTCAGAAAAGTCGAAAAAAGCTATGCCCCCAAAGCAACTAGGGTGAGCAGGGATAGGCTAACAAAATTCATGCAGGACTGCAAAAATAGAAATAAATGAGGAAAAATGAAATTACCCTTAATGTCAAAAACACTAGCAAAAAGATATATAAAAGACAATTCTATCACACAGCCCCTCCGTAGATACCGAGAGGGTATTTTTTTTCGCAGGCCGAGTTTTGCTTGTCGAAACCACGAACGCAATCAAGTAATTAGCAAATAGAAGACAAGAAGTGCTTGGTTCATATGTTTAGCTTTGGGTCTAGGGCGACAAGTAGATCTCTAGCAATTTCAAAACTCAAGAAACTACTGCCAATGCTCGGCGCCACCTTCAGCAGGTTTGGCAATAGCCCCTTGTACATTCCCCTGATACCTTCAGCCCGGAGGATGATTGATATTGCGTCCCATATACTCTTGTACTGGTAACCAAGGCCATTCATTGTATTGACCTGAAATCTTCTCCTCAATACGTCGAAGGGGTAAGTAACACTCTGGGCTACAGCTCCACTAACAGCACCCGCGCATAGTTTCCCGAGGGCCGTTGGGTTTGCCTCCCCTTCAGGGGTCATGAATTTCCGCATAGCTTCGTAGGTAGCAAAGTTGATTCCGACATATGGAGCAACGCCGGCGAGGGTAGGGCCTAATCCACGGTAGAGGGATATTGTGCCGCCTTCGGTACGATACATCGTTTTCATGGTTGCCCACATACCTGGAAGTTTGGTGTGCGGCACACCCTTGGAGGAGAACGAAGCTGACTGAACGGAAAGACGTGTACGGGTAATGTCGAGAGGATATGTCGCGACTATGTTCGCGCTAGGTAAGCTTTAAGTATCAGAAGAGAATAGACTGAACAAACCAACTGATGTTACACCAGCCATGGCGCCGGCGCAGAGTCGGCGAAGAGTGCCGAGGTCAGTGCCGCCTTCTGGAAGTAAGAGCTGAGGTAGGGGATTAGAGGGACTGATAAGATCAGATGAAATCGAGGGCCGAGGAGATTTACCCTCTTGTAAATTGTATAGCTGGAGAACTGGACAGCCGAGTAGGGTACAATTCGTATGCAATTCGTCCCATTCCCTCTATTAAATGGCTCAATTAGCATCCCAGAGCTTCGCAAGTGCGATGAGCCCAATAAGACCCATCCAATTCCGCCCTCAAGTAGCGGTTACACATAAAAAAGAGCTGGGGTCGAAGGAGTTAACCCACCTCATGTAGCCTCTCCAGCCTTCTTCCCTCCACATCTTCACCAGTGCGGGTCCGACACCCCGGTAAGAGCTGTTTCCAGGACCCTGGACTTGAAAAATAATTTTCAACCTCTCCAATGGACTAACGACTGTTCTGCTGACGGCGCCGGCAATACCTCCGGCAATGAACGACGCAGTCACCGGTTGACTAAGATACTCACGGAGCCCTCTCATGAAATCCGAAGGTGGAGGAATAGCTTTTGAGGAAGCCATTGTAGGCGGGGAAGTTGTCGGTGCTGTAGCAGGCTAAGGTGGAAGAGAAAAGTCAGAAATTTCAAGGCAGGAGTGAAAAGGGAAGGGAAACGTCACCTCTGAAGCAGCAAGACCGGCGTCCTTTGATAGTGGTGGGGTATCACCGACGGGAGTGGGGGGTTTTCGATTGAGACTCATGATGAGGGAATTTCAGGTGACAACAGGGTTATGCAAGGAGATAGAGAGAGATGATGTTCAATGCAACTGAGGCGCTGTGGAAGATGACAACGTCGGTGTAGAGAGGAGCCTTGAAAAGATTCCGATGGGAAGCGGGGAGCCGGAAAGCGTGAACAGGAAAGAGCCGCTGTTTTTTGGTCCATTCAACCGCCGAGAAAACAAACTTGCCCAACGCCGAGGGTTTTCAACGCTGCAGATGGAGGACAAACGTGAATCGGAGTTTGGGAATTATGGCAGGCTAAATATGATGGGGGGAAGGGATAAGGGATGGGGGAAAGGTCAATGGAGAAGATGGCGAAGGTTCAGGGACAGTGAGCAGAAGTAACGAAAGAAAAACAGGAAGGACCCTGAAGGAGTACCGGTATGGTAGGAAAGGGGAAGGACAGTTCTTGTTAGGGCACCATATGCACCAGTATGTAATACGGGGGGTGCAGGAGGCTCCTTCGTTTCCCACCTGCCATTTCCCTCCCTTTCGGTCTCTCCTGTCGGTGCGGATTCATCTATTACTATTATCAGCAGTGTTTTGCGTACCGCTGATTCTCTGAGACACGGCCAGTGATGTCTGAGGGATTCGAGATGACAGAAAAATTGCATTCAGGGCACAACTATTACAGTACCGGCAACTTGGCCCGGAACAACGAGTGCGACGTTGGGACCCTGGAAGGCCTGTGAGTTGTGACCAGCCCTGTCTCCCACCATGGGTTCACTTGCCGATTTATAAAGTATCCGGACACCTTCGCATTGATTGATACCTATCTTGGCGCCAAGGCGTCCAAATACTTTATGAATTGGAAAGTACTCGGGCGCCGGTAGTCTACTAGTACTGAGCCTTTGCGGTGGATAAATCCAGAGCCCCTGTACACCAAAAATTAAGATTTTGGATGTGTGGAATACTTTACCCTGGATGGCATCAAAAACCTCATTCTCTCAGGTTAAGAAATAAAGAGGACGTTCTCACCAAGTTCAGAGAGATATCATACCGGTGCCATCACCACATGCGACCCAATTCGAAGCACAATACTGGTAATGGATTTTAATTCCTTGCTCGGAAAACCCACTCTTATTATTGATTACAGCAATCGTTTCAAATCATAAAAACCTGTAAGCCTTGATACCAGTGCAGTACATGAAGTGCCGGTAGGTCTTCCACTCCCCCGTGACAGTGCCCTCCAGGTTATGAACTCCTCTGTTGCACTTCTGGCCTCTCCATCCCATATTCGTAGATGAAGCATGCTAATAAATCTCAAGCTCTGCTATGGCGCCAGTGAGCTCGGAGTCAAATACAGCCAGATCGAGGTCACTTATTCTCCCCATTCTCAGGTCTCCTAAAAAAACATCAGCTGCCTGAAAGAGAGGAATTTTGGCATGGCAAAGGTAGTTTGAAGTCGTAGAGGTCAAATCCATTCGGTTTGCTCTTCCTCCAGTCTTGGCATGTGCATGCCAAGAGCAAAAAATCGCTCCTGATGGGTCCACGGAAAAGTCTCTAGTACTGGTATCATCATTCAACATCTGCCATCTGATGAAGGGCAGTTCCAGAACGCGTGGTCCTCCTGGAGTTCGAGTATCCCCATCTACGGTTTGTTCCAGGCCTTAGCACAGAGGCGAGTTACGGTATTTATCGTTTTCCACAATCTTATCGCCAAAGCCAATTAGCATTCAAGTTTTAGGAGGAAAAGTGAACCTCGGACCCATCACCATAATACCGGTATTATCCTACCGGCAAATCATATCGGGTTCTCTTGGCAGTTAATTCTTTCAGATTCTCTCGTCCTATCCGGCGTCTTGATTGGTGCAGCGATTGCCGTCATTCTGGCTCGCCACCAACCCTCTTCCCTCATCCATTTCCTCCCACCACCACCACCTTGCATAAAATTGCCCTTCCTCCTCCAAAACTTCTCTCCAACCCCACATTTACCGTACTTCGCTATTCGTATTCACCAAGAAACCTCCACCAAGCACGGTCGTCAAAATGTTCAAGAGAGTCGCCTTAACAGCCACTTCTATTCGCGCTATCTCTTCCCCAAGAGTCGCTACACCCCTGCGTGCTGTTTCCAGGGTTTCTTCCCCCATTGTCTCCAAGAGAAATTATCATGAGAAAGATGTGTTCGCCCCCTCCTGCCCTACAAAAAAACTCCTTCCCCAAAGGCAGCTGGTATTGACATTTCCATTTTACTGCTAGATCATTACAACAACCCTCGCAACGTCGGCTCCCTCCCGAAAAACGACACGGACGTTGGTACTGGGCTTGTTGGTGCGCCAGCTTGTAATATTCCTCACATCTTTTTTTTCACTCCAACCTCTGATACCCTGGGCACTTTCGGCCCCCACCTTGCCTTGATCCACCTCAAGCATACTAAAACAAAATCTTGTGATGTAGGTGGCGATGTGATGAAACTCCAAATTCGCGTCGACAAGGAGACAAACACTATCAGCGAAGTAAAGTTCAAGACTTTCGGTTGCGGCTCCGCCATTGCATCGAGCAGTTATCTTACCGAGCTCGTCCGTGGAATGTCCTTGGAGGATGCTGGCAGAATCAAGAATACTGAAATCGCAAAGGAGCTTTGCCTACCTCCTGTCAAATTGCATTGCAGTATGCTTGCCGAGGACGCAATCAAGAGTGCCATAAAGGACTACCAAACAAAATCCAACCGCGGACCACCAACCCTCGGGAAGAACCTTTTGTAAACACTCTTGATGGATTACTCTTTTCCCTTATTATCTCGATCTCCCCCAATTTTCTCTGAGTTCTTGAAGGGATTGGTTGGCTAGGTTAACCTGTAGGATGGGAGGGAATGAAAAGGCGGCTGGATCGAAAGCCGACTGGCCAGATGGAGGGGGTCTGTTTCTTGGTTTTTCCTTTGCCAGCTTACCTTTCGTGATAAATATTTAACCGGCGTTGTTGTTTCTTTTGTGTTTTTTCTTCCCAGCTCCCACTACCACCCCCACACTCTCTCTTTCGCTATCCTCATCATGGGAATACCTAAAACCTAACAGCCGACCCCTCTACCATCCTTTCCCTTTTTCCTTTCCTCAAAAAGCTTGCATCGGGGGTTGCCTCTTTACGTTCCACCCTTATCAATTCCCCCCCTTTTTCCCCCTTTACCCTTTCCTTCTTCCTTTTGATAGGAACTTGTGTTGTGGAGTGAGAAAAGCATTTGAATCCCCTTTGTCACAATCAACATTCGTGAAAACCCAAAAACTGTGATACCGAATGGTAGTGAAATGTTGAATTAAGCTTATTATTATTCTACCGGTAACTTATCCCGCCCTTATCATACGACTTCTATGTCATGGATGATAAAGTTAACATGTGTAGGGCTTGAACCGTAACTGCGTGAGTGGTGGTACGGGCGCACCGCCGCACTTGGCGGTCGGGGGTTTGGGGTTATCTGATTGCCAGAATGCGATCTGATACCTTGGCCCGATAAAGATAGTGGGGAGTAGTTTACGTATCATACCCAGAATCATGATTTTGCGATACCTCGCACTGCCGCGATGAGATCAGCATTGTGCGGTTTCTCCACCAAAAACTCAGCTGCAGTTCGATATCTGGCGGAATTTTGCATGGTGTAGTGTGGTTTGGGACTGATGATGCTAATAAGTTTTAAGGAAGAAGAGTCGCTGTATCTGCTAGGCCCGGTTTCGCGGACGGGATTTGTGAGGTTGTGGGCTATCTAAGAGCCCTCCAGCAGCAGATGTATTGAGAGATTGGTGTGGCTGTCAAATGGTCATTTGGTTGACGATACCGTAAAGTATCGTAACCTAGAGTAGGATAGTACTAGGTCAACCCATTTCACCCGATGTCCTTTTCACACTACAAGTGTTCGCCGCCTATTACCCCCCCCCACAGCATAATGCCATTGGGAATCTGCCAAAATTTGACAGTGCGTTGGTAAGCCTGTAGATAATGTGGGAAATATTACAAATATACGTAAAGAGACAGAAAATGTCATCTAAGTATGAGGTAGTGGTTGTCATGTATCATACCTTTTTGTATGATGTGGACCCCCATATTTAGGTCACTTTCACACCAGCCAACAGATAAACAGTGAACACAGTTTTGATCCCTTGTAGTTCTAGCCCTAAAGGTTTAAATGCATAGCAATTATCTGGCCGAT